GAATTTCACAAAATTGGGTGTTATTTATGGGGAGTAGAATTATTTATTTATTTCAATGAATGTAATCGATTAAATATCATAATATTTAGGCTATAATATTATAAATCAGGTTGGTTTGTATTGCTGACGTAATATGTAAATGATATGCGTGCGGCCTGCGAGACTTGCACTTGGACCATAGTGCGGCCCAGTGGAAAAAAAGGTTGAGAACCACTGGTTTAGACTGTCGCTATACAGTTGCTAGTGTATTGTGAGTGTTTTAGGCTGTTGCCATGCAGTTGCTAGTGTGTTCCATGTATTATAATCTGTCGCTATGCAGTTGCTAGGGTGTTGTGAGTGTTTAGGCTCTTGCTATGCAGTTGCTAGTGTATTGTGAGTGTTTTAGTCTGTTGCTATGCAGTTGCTAGGGTGTTCTGAGTGTTTAGTCTGTCGCTATCCAGTTGCTAGTGTGTTCTGAGTGTTTAGACTGTCACTATGCAGTTACTAGGGTATTGTGAGTGTTTAGGCTGTTGCCATGCAGTTACTAGGGTGTTCTGAGTGTTTAGGTTGTTACTATGCAGTTGCTAGGGAGTTCTGAGTGTTTAGGCTGTTGCTATGCAGTTGCTAGTGTGTTCTGAGTGTTTAAGGCTGTTGCTATGCAGTTGCTAGGGTGTTGTGTGTGGTTTCTAGGTGTTTTCTTCCTGTCTGGTGTGAGTAGAGTCTCGGTGATGATGTGATTCAGGTCTCTCTTTCAATGTGATTTGCTTTCAGGTGTTTTCTGGTTCAGCAGGTAAAAATAGTGCATCTGATCACTCAGAAAAATAGCAGCAGACTCATGATGTGAGGAATCATTCATGTGTGGAGCTGCAGGAGTGAGTCTGTTTACTGCAGCAGATCAGGAGCAGATGGAGTGAAACCAGAGCAGTCACGAAAGCCACAACACACACACACACACACACACACACACAGGTGAGAGTCTCGCCCCTCACACCTCATCAGTGTGACCCGCTCGCTGCACCTGTGCCGAACTGACCAACACACACATGCAGGAGAACACACACTTTATCTGTTCAACA